CATTTTTTATTTTAGAATTGATGATATTACTGAAAGCTACTGATATCGAAATTACTTACTCCAGGTCGCCGAAGGTGATTTGAGGACTGGAATTGATCGAACGATAAACAAGTGAAATCTAATCCCATTTTAAGGCCTACTTAACTTATATACACGAGAGTAACATGATTTCGAAGGGGCTCCTGAGATAACATCGTTGAGGAGACTTTCATTTCGTATAAAAATGCATAAAGAAGAGATCCTAAGATCGAGTTCACCAAAATTCGACGGCCAATCCCCGTTGTATTGTAGCAATTTGGTTCCTATACCATGTTCATGTTGACGCAGTTCATAAGACATCCTCCTTCGTTCCTCATGAAAACGAACTAAGCTTTCGGTCATCACATGGCAGATATCATCAGAGCTAGAGCTCACTCTTGTAGATGTATCAAGTTTAGTCAAGAAGACTGACCTGCTCTATTTTTTCTCTTCTATATACTTATAACATAAATAGATATAGAATGGTTTGGCAAATTATTTTTTATTTACTTTTATTTTAAGTTTGTGTGTGTGTGTCCGTGTTTTAATGTCTATACGAAATACCAATCCTAAATCAGAATTATTAACAAAGCCCAACGTCAGTCTTAATCATCCCAGAAAATACCCTGACCGAGACATCTTAAGGCTTTAAGCATCGCTGGTTGAGATAATGAGATACAAACGTGTGTAGGTCGCGCTATGATCCCTGCCATAGCCTTTCAAGATAGGGTCATTATGTGATGTATTCACCCAATTTCGTGTAAGGTGATGAAGGACTGGTAGAAGAAGAATTTCCCCAAAATAATATGAATTAAGCTGACGTTTCCACTGAATTTCACATAGCCTTGATTTCCCATCCTGCAGTGTCGCGGTTCGACTTCCGCTGAGAGTGTTGATAAGACCGATGCGAGATCGAAACTGCAATCCACTTCAGCCTGGATAAGAACAACTCTAGGAAATGTAAGGCTATGTGAAATTTAGTGGAAATGTCAGCTCAAATCATATCATTGTGGGAAAATTCTTCTTCTACCAGTCCTTCATCACCTCAAACGAAATTGGGTGATTTTATCTCATATTAGTGGTTTACTTTCTTCAGTCACAAACACAATACTTAATTCGAAAAATAGGGTCATTATGGTTTGACCCTCCAACAAAAGGCATGAATGGGGTTTAAATCATAACTGAGCCAACGGGTTAAATCGCGATATTTTGGATTGCGGCTCATCACCCGCTCTCTCCTTCAATCTTTAAAGTAAACAACGTAGTTCTTATCCAACCTTACAACATCGTTTCTCACATTCAACGTATGCCCTCATCACCTCATTTCAATAGCTCCGCCTATTTTCCTTTTAACAACAGGTCCACCATAATCAG